GACAAGTGAAGACAGGCCATCTAAGTATCTAAGTAAGTAAGTAAGTATATTTGTAGACGATTCCATATGTACAAAGCTTCTAAGGTAGAGACTTCACACAAACTTTTATAAACTGAAATTCACTTGAAGTATCATCACAAATTTGTTTGTGATATGCGTTGTAGATATAAATAAAATACTAATCAATTATACTACGGATAATATTTAATATTTATGCTAGCAATAGGTTTTGTTTACAGCATAATGTAATTGACGATAATCTTTTAGTCACGCAGTCGTGGTCAAACATCCTATGAGAGCATGTTGTAACCCTACTCATTTTTCAACTTTTTCTCCAAAATGGAGTTGAAGCGAAACATAAGAGCAGTTTCGAATTAACACATAATGCAAAATCGTAGGTATTTTGTAAGATTCCATAGCTCTATTATAAGTGACCATACTGTTTTCAGCCTTCATTATTTCCTTTCAAAACTCATAACGTGATTGAATTTATAAAGCTAGAATCTCAAGTGTTTATAAATATTAATCCAAAGAAGCGTTTTTTGGTGAACAATTTGCACTAAGATGATGGTAGGAACTTCAATAATGTTGCTATCATTTGCACTATTCTGGTGTACTTTACAGTCACTCATTTGTTTTTCAACCAATTCATTAATTGTAAGTGTTACAAGAGTTGTGCTGAAATGATACAAACACCAGTCCTTGCCCCTTCGTTTCATATTCGAGCATACATATTGAGCTTTGCTAACTGTAGAATACTCAAATTTTTCGGGTTTTTGCAGAGAAACATGCTATGTAGAATGTTCGTGCTATTGAATGCTATTTAAGGGATTGTTATGTAAAAATCAGAAATAAGTCTTGTTACAAGAAATTTTATTATCCTGCCTCTAATCATCCATAACAACAGCAACAGCAGCAACAGTACGCAGCACTGTAAGCCATGTATCCACCACCAAAGCCTCCTCCACAACCTCCACCGTAACTTCCATAATCTCCACCATAACCGCCGGAATATCCGCCTTTGTAGCCATAGAATCTGCCACCATAGCCGTAACCTCCGTAACCTCCGTAACCTCCGTATCCTCCGCCGAAAGGCATTCCACCAAAT